TGAGGGTCCCCTGCCCAGGCCTGACACCTCTGGCAGAGGCGTCAGGCCTGGGCAAGGGGCCAATCCTGCGATTGGAGATTGATGGGGGTCAATGCCTGAGGGCTCCCAGTATGTGAGAGGGGGCAGGCTGGGCTGAGGGACACTCCCCCCCACCCCCACCCAGTGCACGAATTTCTTGCACCGGGCCCCTAGTTCATAAAATAAGGATGCAACTATGTTCCCTCTACAACGTTCAGGGCTGTTTAGATGGATTGGAACATGTGTTTATGGATGCGGCACAGGGTGGTGTTCAGCCCATGCAGGCTGTTAGCGCCCCTCCACCTCTGAGTGCTCAGGACAACACTTCTGCTTGCTCGCTCACTTCTTCCACAAGCATTTCCTGGGCACCTGCTGTGTGCCAGGCCCCTGGCCTCTCCTGTCAGGCAGAGAACCCTGGTTCACTCGGGAGGCAGACTCAGGCGAGGGAGACAGCCACATGCAGCTCCATATCCCACGGGGAGACACACCCCTCTGCCTGGAATGTCCCCCTGCCCCCAGAGCCCCTTGTCCACACAGTGAGCTCTTAGTTGTTTTCCAAGTCCCAGCTCAAGTCTTCTTCAAACAACTCACCCCTCCCCAAGCAGGATGATTGATGGCTGAATGTGTGCTAATGCAAACCACGCTTTAAAGAAAAACTGAACATCGGAGGCCAACTAGAAGGGACGTTCCACGGAGCAGGGTGACCCTTTCCTGCTCTGGGAGTTAGAAGCAGACTCCTGGAGGAGCAGGTGTGTAGGCCAAGCCACGGAGGAGGGAGAGGGTGGGAAAGGAAGGTGAGACCCAGGGAGAAGGCAGAAACAGGATACAGAACTTGTCTGCACTAAACACACCTTCATTTGTCAATTCCAAATGCCTCGGTGCCCCAGGCTACCGCCTCTGCAAAAAAGAGCGTGTCCTACAGAACCGACCTCTGACGGGCACCTTGGGAGGGGGGGCCCACGACCCCCCCACTCATGCCTCCTCTGCCGGCAGGAAGCAGAGGATCCCATAGAAGCTGCTGAGGCCTAGAGGACCAGGTGCCTCCCATGACCAGGACTCTGCTGTGGTATAAACAAATAAAGATTCAGTATGTTAAGCCAAAATTGGGGGTGGTATATGCACTAGCCATTAGCCTACCCTATCTAATATAGTCCCCAAAGGGAGAACGTGGGGGGCTAGAGGGGGTTAAGAAGAAATCAAAGACGGGATTCTCAGCTGTATTCCCTGCTCTCCCTTCTGCCCCAAACTTCCCCACGTGCTTCCCTGACATGATCAATAACCAGCTACACATGAA